TCTCTGACACACTCACTGGGCCACGCTACAACAACAGAGACGGCCCACCTCCCCTCCTCCCTCCCCCACAGCCCCCCCTTGTATCCATGCAGTTTTTAGCAAAGAAGCCCTTGCCCTGCTTCTCCCCTCCGCTGCTAAATCCCCCCTTTTCTCCTCCAAAATATGGAAACCAGTTCCAAGAAGCAAAGAACGGGAAGAACGGGTGTGAGGGGGCAGAGGGGAGGGCGTTTGACTTTGCTGCACTTCTGGTGCATGTGGAGGACATCTACTGTGTTGTGTTTTTTAAAATGTTGTGTCTCTTTGCTCCGACTGTGCTTATTGGTTAAAATGGCAAAGCAGTATTTGCATGTTATGGCATTGTTTTTATAAAACAGTGATTATTGTAGTGTCATTTATGATCTCAGTTGGTTTCCCCTCTCTGAGGACTCAACAAACCAGTGTTGGATTATTTGAGCATGTGTGTTCGTGCATCAATAGGATTGCACATGATTAACTTAAGGTGCCTCTTATCCCCTGTTGTGTAGGTTTAATATGTGGGTCTGTAGCTTTATCGGTTTTAACAAGTTAAGGGACTCTCCATGTGCTGAGCACGCAAGGACGGGAATGACACAATGAGGTGCTTATTCACTTGTAGTAAATTCCCCTCCCCCATTTATTTTGTCGCTGCACTCCAGTGAAACTCACGTGAGGCGAACTCACACAATGATTTTATGAATGTGTGCTGACACAGACACGCACTCATGCAAGCTGTAGTACAGTAGTAACACATGCACACACTCTGAGGTCCGCAGGGGGTTGTAGTGCAGGCCTGTCCCAAAACAGCCTGGATGCTCATTAAAATTGCACAGTGGTCAGTCAGGGGATGGAAATCAGGGCTACTCTGAAGTCATTTCTGCCTTCCTAAAGATCCCAGCAGTGGCAGGCCTTGTGTTGAAGGGATGGCTTTGCCCACCGTCTGTGGTCCCCGTTGCCGTGATGTCACCAACTCTGGAAAGACGGAGTTATCAGAGCCACATTTTCAAGGACTCACGTGTATCTCGTGACATTGTGTGTGATATTTGGGGCACGGCCGGGCTACAGGCAAGAAAGGCTCTCATCAGTTTCTTTGGCCTGGATGTGTTCTGGGGAGCTTGCCCATGACGATGACATCCTACACACCTGCTCAATTAATCAAGAATGCACAGTGTAAGGGGAACCACCAAATTAGTTAAATACCAAGGAGGAAGAGCAAGAAGGCACAGCTGACAATCAAATAGTGTTTTGAGGGAAAAATATATATCAAGAGACAGAAGGTAACACTGTGTGTGAGTGATTTATGATACACTGCTTGTAAAAACACACACTCTGAGGGCCAGGCTGGCCAGGTGTGGAGTTCAGACAGCAGAAACCCCTGGGACTGTATCTTCAAAATGATTTGCGGTACCTGTCAGATACGATGAAATAAAACTGGGTCGGCATGATGAAATAGAACCTAAAATTTGATTAATCAAAAAGCTTTGTGGAAGGAAATAGGTAATATCTTCAATAAAGTCCTACCAAAGCTTTACGTCAAAGCAGTAACACATTGCTATAGACTTACACACCTATATCACGCTGCATTTCGTGCTTTCCATACATTGGACAGTAACCGCTGACTAAATGCTTAGCATTCCCGTAATATAATAGACTAAATCACACAGCGCTCATCAGAGCCCCATAATCCTGCAGTGCTCTTGTGTAGCCAGACGGGCAAGTTGAAATCTCTAGGTTTACCAATGTGGGTAAGGGCATGTGTTTCTGCATGTGAGCCATGTGTGTTTTGTTTTTCTATTGTATTGAAATGTCTGTGGCATTGTCATATTATGTGCTGAGTAGTCATTACGAAATAGATTTTGCTAGAGGGACAAAGACGGACAGCACATGAAAGGTTGATTACAGATGACATTGCCAGTCTGTGTGTGTGTGTGTGACTTTTACTGATGAGCTAATCATTTTGATCCTACCCGCATTTACTTTATTAAGTGACAAGCAATAAGTTAAACAGCTTAACCAAAGTTATGGTCAAGACTATGGTGCAAGGTATCTGACTGAAAATGGAGGTCACTCACTGGCAAACACTGAACTCTCCCACCATTTTATTGAGAGACCTCTGCCATTAAATGTTGTTGTTTGGTGCTAGTTGAATCATTCCAATTAAATCAAGATAAGTTAAGATTGTAATTAAAATGTTATAGGTATAACATTCATATATTGTATTTCAGTTTTTTACACTAAATAATACATAAAATGTTGCTTCAATATATTTACAGATCAGATTTGATTTACCCACTAGCACCCAAATTTTCTGTCACACCTGTCATTGGTGAACACATAATGTTTTTAGTTTTACATTGCAATGGGTATTGGCAAATCTGAGAACCCTCTATTATTTCTAAGTGATAGCCTTTGTGCTGGCATTTAGGATTTTTATGGTTACGTACAGATATTATCACATATTTTTTTTAAATAGTTTTAAGAGCTTTGAGCAAAAGAACAACACTCTCTTTCCATTTTAACGGTACAGATGTCTTAACTGACCTTATACCCTTACTTATTCCTTACCAGGATTTGAAACTGGGTAAAAAGTTATATTTTAAACATAATTAATTCTTTAAATAAAGATTAGGTGTATGTGTGTGTAAAAAGCATTGTGCATCTCAATATTCTATTATTTGTAGAAACACCATTTGCAGTTTTCCCCCATTGTATAACATTGTAAGCTGTTGTGACTTTGACCCACCCTTCTTTACCAAGCTGCTTCAGTTCATGGTCATTCATTTGTGCACAGCCTTCATAAAGGTCTCATTACGATATTATATTTCATTTGAGGTCTGCATTTTGATGGACTTCTGCAACACTTCAATATTTTTCTAAGTTTTAAAGTTGTCCAATTATCACTGCCTCTGGGTTCATGGTTCTGTTTTATGACCCGGTGCAAGCTTTGGTTATTTCTACAGCTGTGGTTGGCCTTACATTTGAGTTCATGGTTTACTTATTGACTGCAAAGTGTGCAGGTCATGGGCAGAAAAACAAGCCAGAATCAGCAGCTAGACACTACTGAGATTCACAGTTAGGTTGTCTGTGTTGATATTATGTGCCTGGGTTTCTCCAAACGTGGTGCGTTACATTATGAGTGAATATATCCACGTTAGGCTCACTACCGCCCAGTGATGCTGTCTGAAGTTTAACATTTAAGATACTCTATATGAGGCCCACATATCTTGAGACATATATTTTGGGGTTTTCTTTTTAGTGTTTTTCTCTTATCAGTCTGATGTTGGGAGGTTTCAACAACCACTCGTGGATTAACTGGCAACTAATCTTAATATTTTACATTTGAGAAAAAATGCTCTTCCTGTAGAAGCCCTAAAAGCTGTAGTGGCTCTAAACATGATCATTCAATATTCCTGGTCAAATAGACAAATTAGTTCAGGATTTGTGTGTTAAAACACTTTGACAAGCATACTCACAAACTGCACAGTTCCCCGTGTTTTTGTTAGGTGGTGAAAACAGCAAGTATTAAACCAAAATGACTTCGGTTAAAAAGTCACGAAGAAGAAACAGCTCCGATTTCCGGTTCCGGGTCTTAACATAGAAACGTCGTGTGGACGGCGCGGCTAAACAGAAAGTTACAGAGAAAACTTTGCCATTTGAGGGGTTTGCACCTTTAAAATCGAAACTGTACCGTGTGGTTTTTACAGAGTGCACAGACTGAGACCAAGTCAAGACAAAAGCAAAAGGTTTGTGGGCTTCTTTTGGCTTTAGTCGCTGATTTAAGTAGCTCGCACACAGCTGTGTGCTAACATCAGTTAGCATGTAACCAGGGAGTTTTTTGGCGGATGTAATTGATTTGAGATTGTCATGCTCCGGGTCAGCGCTGATATACTGTATTACCCTCAACCTATTAAGATTTGCGAACTTAGTCTTGATTTAGTGGCGTTATATATTAGTTAGTAAATGGGGTTTGTGTTAGTGCAGCTTCAACAAAGTGGATACCAGAGTTTGATCTTATACAACCTCCGTTTGGGTCAGTCACATCAGTGCTGCATTGTCCAGACCCGGTCCGCTTGTTAAAGAGGCAGATTGATGTAACAGTAGTGTTACTAAGCTGTAACACTATATTTTCTTCTCGACAGGATTGGGGGATGTCTCTACCAAAGCGGGAGGTGGAGGAATTGAGACCATGGGTGGAGCGGACTGTGAAGAAAGTGCTCGGTTTCTCGGAGCCCACTGTGGTCACTGCAGCTTTACACTGTGTAGGGAAGGGGCTGGATAAAAGGAGGACAACAGGTAAATAGAGTAATCTAAGATGCAACTTAATGTATTCAATAATAGTCCTGTTTTAGGCAGACTGATAGATAATATATTTGTTTTACTTGTATCTAATTTTATTCACTTTGCCAATAAATGATCAAAAAGGGAAACTTTCCCTTTTGTACTTAATCTATTATCAGCACTACTTGCTTCATTCACTTTTAAAGTTTACGTATTTCTCAAAGTCATGTTGAAATAAAAGATAAACATTCAGTTTTCGTTGTTAAAATATGAAAATCACAAATGTCTGAATGGACTTGTATGGAAATATAATTTGTATTAAATAATGCAAGGGCAGTTTTAGAGAGATTGGTAGGAGCACTTCCATCTGCTATTATTTCTTCTAAATAAATCTAGTTAATTTCTGAGAACAATGAAACAGTTTTCATGTTGTTTTACACTTAACTCTGAGGCACTTTAAGAACAAAACTTCCAATTTGCTCTCAGATCAGCTCCGTCCCTTCCTTGATGACTCTGCTGGAGGTTTTGTGGAGCGTCTTTTTGAGGCTCTTGAGGAGAGCCGCATTGCCCGAGGCAACAAAGGAGCAGGAGAAAAGAATCGCAAGAGAGAGCTGAAGGTTATAAACTTTGAGTACCCAGACTTTATCGTTACTGTACAGTTAAGATTAATAATAAGACACAAAGCTTTTTGACTGCACGGTGAAAATACAAATGATATCAAGGAGAAACTGAAGCCTCCTGGTTTCAATTTCTTAGTCCTGGCTTACTGTTTTTTCCATCTATAAGATTTAAACTTTATATGATATTTACATATTCTCTAATAATCATTACTTTAAGCCTGAGATTTAGTTGCATGAGTTTGTTAATGTTAGTGCTTTGGCTGTTTGGACTCAGGAGGTTTTTGGAGAAGAAGCTGACACAGGAGTGATTCGAGAAGCCCCCGACCCGGGAGATGGGACAATTACAAAGAAGAAACGAATCCCTCGCTTTCAGGAAGTGGAGGAGCCTGAGGTCATACCTGGACCACCATCCGAGAGCCCTGGAATGCTTACTAAAATGCAGGTATGACAATTTAAATGTATTTCATTAGAATTATTCTTCAGTTGATTAGAATCGTAATGTAACTTTTTTCTCTCATCTGTTCTATGATGCTTTTGTTGCCCCAACAGATCAAACAGATGATGGAAGCAGCAACAAAACAGATAGAAGAGAGGAAGAAACAATTGAGCTTTGCCTCTCCGGCCTCCACTGCAACAGTAAAATGATTAATATTTGTCCACAAAATATGGCTCAGTATGAAACTACTTGAAGGTAATCCTGACTTCAGCGGTTTGCTCTTCCAACCCCGCAGTCGCAGCTGGAGAGCCCAGCAGTCTCGCGGCTTTTTGGCTCCTCTCCTTTTGCAGCTGCTGGTGGTGGCTCTTCCATCGGCCCCTCCCAGGCTGCCAGCTTCATGAATGATGCAATCGAGAAAGCCCGCAAAGCAGCAGAGCTGCAGGCCCGCATCCAGTCCCAGTTAGCCATGAAGCCTGGTATCCTTGGGACATTGGGTAACACCGGGCCTCACAATGTAGTCGCACTAGCCAATCTTCATGCCATGGGAATTGCTCCACCGTAAGTAACATCAAAGCATGAAACAATTTATAATCAATAAAGAACAAAAGACAGAGGAGGGTGGTGTACCTTTCCTCTGTGAGCACACTAAACTGAGTGGATTTTTCTGTTTGTTCAATGCAGAAAAGTAGAAATTAAGGAGGTGAACAAGCCAACACCTCTCATTCTAGATGAGAAGGGAAGAACTGTAGATGCCAGTGGCAAAGAGATTGAACTGACACATCGTATGCCCACACTCAAAGGTATGTTCCCAGTTTCCTAACATGCATGTGAAAACTTCTTGTTCTCGGCTCTCAAACCATTTTCCTCTCCCCGTGCAGCTAACATACGAGCAGTGAAGAGGGAGCAGTTCCGTCAGCAGCTGAAGGAGAAGCCTGGAGATGATTTGGAGTCCACATCGTACTTTGACCAGCGTGTGCTCATCACGCCCGCACAGCGTACACGCAGGGGCTTTAAATTTCACGAGCAGGGGCGCTTTGAAAAGATTGCCCAGAGAATTAGAACCAAGGTTTGATCCTTAAACTCTCTGCAGTTTCGTGTTGTGGCTATATGAGAGGGGATATTTTTTCAACATTACAACTCATGCTTTGTGTCTGTTGCATGAATGTTTACCCACACCAGGCCCAACTGGAGCGGCTGCAGAATGAGATTGCACAGGCAGCGAAAAAGACAGGAATTCAGGCTTCCACCAAACTGGCACTCATTGCCCCTAAAAAGGAAATTGGTGAAGGCGAGGTGCCTAACATTGAGTGGTGGGACTCTTACATCCTGCCTTACAATATACCCATGTAAGGAAATGCAGTTTAAGAACTAAAGTGGGCTGATAATCATTAACTTTGTCCAACGGATGCATTTTGAGGCTCTTGTTTGTTTTTTTCTTCTAAAGAACTTCACAGACTAAATTTGAAGAGTTGGAACTATTTGGTGTGACCAACTTGGTTGAACATCCGGCCCAAATGAGTCCCCCAGGTAAGTTTGTGGAACGTTTACTCCCCTGGTTTTTATTCTCCAGCCCGTTCCATTTACACACAACAGTTAAATGTTAGACTGTTAACTCCATTGATTGTGTTAACTTTTGTGTACTTTTTTTGTTCTTTTTTCCTTAGTTGATACAGATAAGCCAGTTACGCTGGGTGTATATTTAACAAAGAAAGAACAAAAGAAACTGAGGCGACAAACAAGGAGGGAGGGACAAAAGGAAGTGCAGGAGAAGGTCCGCCTGGGTCTAATGCCTCCACCCGAGCCAAAAGGTAGGTGCACACAGACAGCAGTGATCGCAGACGCTTCCAACACCAGACAAAATGGGATATTCCTGACGGTTGTTTTGGTTTTTTAGTTCGTATTTCCAATCTGATGAGAGTCTTGGGGACAGAAGCAGTTCAAGACCCCACGAAAGTAGAGGCCCACGTGAGAGCACAGATGGCCAAGAGGCAGAAGTTTGTAACAAACTTATTTTGTTTGTGCACTGTTTGCTGCTGATTGTTTGTTGTACAAGATAAAGGTGTTTTTTTGTTTGTTTGCCTCCTTGTAGGGCTCACGAAGAGGCCAATGCTGCTCGTAAGCTCACAGCAGAGCAGAGGAAAGAGAAGAAGGTTAAAAGGTTAAAAGAGGACCTCAATAATGGTGTTCACATTGCAGTCTACAGGTAGGTTTTTGCTCAGGAAAGGGACACACAATGTGGTTAATGTATAATGCAACATGTTCACACCTGCTTAAACATTTTACCATCCTTGCACAGGATCCGGAACCTTCAAAATCCTGCAAAGAAGTTTAAAGTGGAGGCTAATGCCAACCAGCTGTACCTTACAGGCTCAGTGGTGCTGCACAGAGACGTCAATGTTGTTGTGGTAGAAGGAGGTAAAGGAGTTCAATTTCAGGTTGCTGTCACTTTTTAGGCCATTCATCCAATCAGAAATGATTTACTCAGTGTCTACGAAAATGGAAATAAAATTCATTAATTTAGGGGTAGTATGTTTCCATGTTAATACTGTACACAAAAATATATTAACAGGTTTATGTTAGGGTTTAGTTACATTTCCAATCTGAAAACCCAGTGTTGGCTTTGAATATCTTAAATATCTGGCTTAGAGTACAAGCAACATTTCTACAAAACCTTCTGAAATGATGATTAGTAAAAATGTTGTCACTTTGCCTCTGGTTGGCAAACATTGCCCAAATTTTGCGAATATCTCTCTGTTCAGATGTGACAGTACACCAAATACCAAACCAGTGTGCTTTGTTATGCAGGTCAAAGCACAGAGGTGTTTTTTAACAGAGGTGCTTTTTGTCTTTTTCTGTTAAAGGCCCAAAGTCCCAGAAAAAGTTCAAGAGACTCATGTTGCACAGAGTCAAATGGGAGGAGCACAACAGTAAAAGAGATGGTAAGAGTGGTTTTATCTGCAGTTATTTATGCTTGCAGTCATGTGTTTATGCATGCTTTGCCTCAGTAATAGCTCCTTTGCTCTCATCTATTAGATCCAGATGGTGACGACGATACAAGGAGGAACAACAAGTGTTGGTTGATTTGGGAGGTGAGTGTAGACACACGTTTCTTGCTATATTCGGTCAGTTGTGTTTTGTTTCTGGCCCGTTCAAATCTCAATATCCCTCTCTGCTCCCCAGGGAACAGCAAAGGAGCGTAGTTTTGGGGAGATGAAGTTCAAACAGTGCCCCACAGAGAACATGGCCAGAGAACACTTCAGGAAACACGGCACAGAACACTATTGGGACCTGGCGCTCAGCCAGAGTGTATTGGAAGGCTCCGATGACTGAAACCTCCCAGTGGGGACAGCATATTTTCAGCCACCTCTACCTTCAACCCTGCAGATCCACTGCCTCTGAACTACCCCGCACTAAAGTCTGCTGGGTGGGCCACATGCTTACATAAGAGACTTGAACATAGTAAAGGAGGAAGAATAAACTTGCTTGGATGTTCTTATGAGAATGTCTGTGAATAGGCGGCATGTGTGTAGTAGGTCTGCACCAGGTGGTTTCTTTTGTGATAGGCTATTCTGTCTTTTTTTGTTGTTGTTGACAGATAGCTCCATGCAATGTATATCAGTCACCCAAAGCAGATGTGATGAACTGAATTTGGTTGTATTATGACTTACTTTGTGTGATTAAGACCCCCATGTATGCTCATCACCCTTTGATTTAAACAGTGAACACATGACCCATATGTTATAAACAGCATGGATGATGTGCTAAGACTTATGGAAAATAAGGGGGGTTGGGGGGTAATGACTTACAGATACATTTCACAGAGGTTCAAGTCCTGTTTTTTTTTTTTTTGTTGAGAAATTAGCAAAGTATGGTGTCTGCTGTAGCTATATTTCTCTGTAACATTACAGCGACCGCCTTCAATAAAGAAAGTCTCACAACCATCTCCTCTCACTTTTCAGTCTTTTAAAGGGCTTATTTTTCTCTCTTTTTTGTACTACTTTAAGTTAATTGTCATGAACTATATTCAATGAATTCCAGTCCAAAATTCAGATTCGCTCTCGTCGCGTAAGGCACGGGGGCGTGTTTTGCCCAAGTCTTCCTCATTACGCCAGCTCCTTCATCGCTATCATTTGCACACAGAGCTGGAAAGATGGCGGCCGGTTCAGGGGCTGCAAGTGGTCAGGTAGCCCGCAGCTCCACCGCTGCTCTGGAAGCGTCGTTGGACCGACGACTTCAAGGAGTATCCAACACTATGGAGTCGATACAAGGACTCTCAACTTGGTGCATTGAAAACAAGAAACACCACGGCCTTATTGTTCGGCACTGGATGAAGTGGCTCAAGAAATGTGAGTGTCTTGCTTGTGAAGCTAAGCCGCTAGCTAGTGCACCTCAGCTAATTTCAGACTGTTGCGATTAGCTTGCTAGAAAACAAACAAACTCATCTGTAGCTCCTGGTGACAGCTTTTCCTGAAATGCTGAATTAGGCATTGCACCTAACCAACTACAGTTTATTTTAACAATACAATCGAACACACATATGAAAGTATACACCGCTTACAATTAGCCGCTGATAGCTAAGCTAGCATACACGGATAGCAGTGTTTACTGTTGGGCCTCCCAAGGTACGTAGTCTAAATATACTTAACATGCTCTGCAGTGTTTAAGACGGATAACACTTTAAATGAATACGCATCAGTTCAGTTGTTTTAAATATAATTAGCTACCAATGGGTGCATCGTCATTTAGGCTGTTAAAAGTCTAGTTGCACCTTAAAACTAGCTCTCTGCCGATAGCTGGCGTTGTGATGTAGAGGCAATGTTATTACGTGAAGTAAACTTTGTTTTTATTTCTGCTGATGTCAAGAAAACGGAATGAAAACATTACTATTTACACACTTTTTACAGTACTAACCTCAAACCCCTACTGGTACATTTCTTAAAACAAACAAGAGTGATCATAAAACAATTCATTTAACTTAGTTTGGTTTTCTTTCAATGCAATTTTGTACGGTTACGGTTACTAACAGCTTCATTCCTAAATTAAAATATTGAGTTGAATTGAGGGACCCTATGATGCTCCTCATCATGTTTTCCCTCCATTTTGGAGGTTGTTTGAAGATGGATACCATGTTATTGTTGCCATCATAAGGACACATCATCAGTTGTGTGCTTTTGCCCCAGTTGTGCATTTCTTTATATATCACAAATAACCTTCAAAAGAGGCAGGCCTTCCATGGGTTGTTTAGACCTGGCTATTTGTCTTGTAACAAGGCACTTTTGCAACTCTTATTTCTACAGTCAGTGGCTGCCTCTGGGTGGCTCTTAGGCTGCACTTTCATCCCATAATAACTTTGCTATGGCATTGACCACAAAGCCCCCCACAGCCCACCTATCATTTCTCATACTGCAGCTGTAAAGTTGTAATGACACAGCTGTTTATGTCTGTAAGCTGCTTGGTCACTTAATTTGCCCAGAAATGAGAAAACACAATTAGTAGTTCAATATGAATATATCCATAATTAATATTCTTCACAAAATTAACTCTTTTGAAACCAACATATTGAAGGATCTGTTTCAATAGCATACGCATTGATTTTTTCCCAATGTTTTTATCATAAAATGTATATATTCAGATCTTATAAGGACGGACACTCTTGCTTGTACCTTAGATCCCAGGATTGGCTTCATGAATTGCTATTCACAGACCTGTTCGGCTGTAGGTGTATTATGCAGGTTTATTATTTCAGCAACACACTGCATGAAGCTTGAGTGCAGCGTACTTCATTAATCTGGATTGTGTATGTTTGAATTGAGGATTATTTGTATTGGATGCTGCATGGTTTTGCAGATTGAGTTGAGATTTTCTGTTCTTTTTGGTGTTGTAAGACATAGGGGGCAACCTCAAACCAAAAAAGAATTGAGCTTGTGGGTTGATTTTTGTTTCCTTTTTTGTTATCAAAGCAGTTATGAATTCTATAGTATTTATTTCACAAGCCTGAACAAAGAGTCAAGTTTTTATTTATTCATCAGCATTTAATCAGTGATATTTTAAGATTTGATTAAATGAGGGCTTACCGATTGAAATATGACAACCAGACTATGATATAGGAGGTCTTAACTCATTCAGATATTTGCACGCTACAGGCATCAGGAAGCGGCTACATTGTGCTTAGTGTCGATGCTTATATGTTGGTTTTCCTTTTTTTTTTTTTATTGACTTATGACAGATTTATTACATGATGCAAATTTTACAGTGAAAATGTCACTTATTCGCCTTTAGTAATCATAAAATTGTAACAATAGAAAGAATGAAATGATTCACTCTGTAAAAGCAAATACAATTATCCATGCATTAGCTCAGGGAAAATCTTTCTTTCTTTAAAAAATAGTTTGTATCAAAATTAAATACAGAATTAAAAATGTTCCACTTCCTGTCTGCCCCTGTCTTACAATCTAGAGAGATGTGGAGTTTCTTTTTGACTGGTCAGCATCTGTCTCTCAGAACATCAGCTGGATTTTTTTTTTTAAAGGTTATCTTGCATCGTTGCCCACAGAACAATGCGTGATAAAAGCCCCTGCTGATCAGACACGATGAGCTGCTGCATACTGCCAGAGCTTTTGTGTTCTGAGGGGAGCGGTGCCAGTAAACCCAGTCACAGTGTGCAGGTCATCATTTGTTTCTGCTTGCTGGCACGGCTTGGTGGAGTTAGATGTGCTATGTAAATAAAACCAAAAAGTGGTGTGACCAAATATTATTAATTAGACTGTATTCACACTATTTAACTTATTTTTATGTTTGGTTAAAACGACAACAATTCAACCCTCTCCAGCTCTCACAGTAAGCATGAAAAATCTCATGCATTGATCGACAGACACATCCCGGAGCCAACGGCTTAATTTCTGCTGGAGAAAACGGATGCAGGAAAATGCAGAATGAGGCTATCGGCTTATCAGAAATGGGGCTGTTTTTTTGGCAGTAATGTCAGTGCAAAGTGTGTTTGGATGCAAGAACATTTTCAGTGTAGGTGGGGGTGAAAAGAGGTGCCGATAGCGGTAAAAACATTTTCTGCCCTCTTCTAACTTGCCGTCATCAGGACGGGAGTGAGGCGGCAGGTTTCAGTCCTCACAAAGTCATCTCTGACGAATGCCAGAAATGTCTTCTGAGTCTTCAAATAAAGCATTTTCCCACTATTTTGGGAACACTTTTAATTCCTAATTGTATTAAAGGGCAAACACTTGGTTAAATAATGTTTATTAGATGTGGTGTAGTTTTTCCCTGACGATTCTTGTTTCAGTATGTGAATGACTTCCTACAGATGATGAAGTGAACTTTTCGGGGGCCAATGAAACCGTTAATACGGGTTTTCAAAATGTTGCTGAAATAACTCAGAGAATGATCTGCCACTATTTTGGGATGTTTAATGCGGCCTAAAAGCTGTAATATTTCCTGGTTTAAAGCCATCTGACGGTCTGGATGAAATTCCCCATCAGACCATGTTGATTGCTGGCCTCTATGCAGCAGACTCATTGAAGTCTTGTTTTGCAAACGCTGGTTGGGTTTTGGGAGGTGGTATGGAAATGTTCGATTAGGAGTGGTTTCCTCTACACAGGATTGGCAATTTGAGCAGTTGAATTTTCCGGGTTTGGGAAAATCATGTGGTGTTAGGTTCTCCATTCCCAGCTTTTTGTCTGCATGACTGTGTCCTCTGTTCGGCTCTGTGAAGGCAGCTCTCCCTTTGCTGCAAAGGGGAGCCATTTGAAGTGCTGCACAGAGCAACTGCTCTGCATACCTTTTAATGGCAGGCCATGTCATTGATCACTGAAAATACATTTTGTTCTGCGTGATCTGAATAGTGAAAGACAAGGTGGATGTTTGCAGATGAAAGGACTTGTGCAAATAACTATTAGATCAAAGAGGAAGTTAACAGATGTAGAAAATGTGACAGAGACAACAATTGTGTGTAAAACCAGTTGTGATGACCACAGCAGTGAAAATCTAACGGCATTTCCAACAGCAGAAAGATTTAGACTTTTAAATTGGATTTGAAGCACTTTCTCCCGATGAATTTGACAATATTGATCATTCTGTTTCCAGAAAACAAAATGGTCAAGAGCTTATTACTTATGGATTAATATGCATTCTGCAAGCTTCTTAAACCATTTCAATCAATCTTTTGTTTTTAGTATTATGTGAGTATCATATGATCCTGTTCTGCTACATGTCAGCCGAGGCTTTTGCTTCAATGTTTTTGCTTAAATCTCTGTGTCAAAAAGGTCGAGCAAAATGGGTCTAATAAAGACCGCTTTTTTAACTCAGTCTTTAATGCTAATTCATGCAATTGAACGATTTTATTAATTCAGAATTCCTGAAGTTAACTTGCCATGGAAAGTGTTTTAAGCATGTGTGTAACATTTTGTCTGATACAGATGAACATACAAACACTGTAGTTCAAACAGTGCTCACAATTGTATGTTCAAAGAGAAATGATTCTCCTCTTTATATTCATGCAAAACTTTTTAAAATTGATCCAGGGGAAAAACACTCTGAAATATGAACAACTTTATTTGGAAATACCTAAATTTTTGCTGTGCCGTTCTTGTGGCTTTGATGTGAGTTGTCAGGCTGTCGGTTCTCAGTGGGACTGGTACTTTTTTTTTTTTTTTTTTGCTCATCTTTTTTTTTCCATCATGTGGAAAATGGTGAAATGAGAGGCAATCCACTCCCGACCCCCCTCTGAGGTGACAGTTAAAGTAGTCACAGACTCGCACTGAAATAGTGTGTGTTTATGTGTGTGTGTGTGTGCAGGTATGTCCTACATCACACGGCACCATTTCGTTGTCGCAACACGCTGCAGTCGTGCATCTGTTAAATAAAAGTGTGGTTCTTTATTTTATTTTTTGGGATTAGTTTCTGCCACGTTCTTGAAGTAAAGTGATTCAGATTGTGTCAAACCAAAAAAGACCCTTGTTAACTACCTAGAAATATTACATTTGCAATTCATCTCTGTTGCTTGTGAAATTATTTCCAGATGTTTTAAAACACCAATTAGACTACCAGTAATGTACCAAATACTTAAAGAAGGGAGAATGTTGCTCTTTATTTTTCGTGTTCTTGATTTTTTTTATACAGCTTAGTTTGGCACATCCTCCTGTCTTCCCCCCATCTTTCATTTTCATGTATGCATGTGACGCACAGACAGACAGACAGCGGAGCGGGCTGATGACGTCAGATTAGTCACAGCAGCAGCTCTCGTGTCTCGTCTGCTCCTCAGCCACAAACTCAAGTTTGTGAAAGAGAGTACTTTTCAAAGATAGCTGATATAGTTATCTTTTTCCTAAATGCTTTGGTGTTTTTTTTCCTACAACAAACTCTTTCCAAGGCACGCCATCGTATATAACAGCCACTCAAGATCAACCCGTCTCTGAAATTGGAAAATTCTTGTGTTGCAGCAAATCAAAAGGAAATGCACTGCATCACAGAAATGGGTAAAATAGTTCAAAATACTGTCCAGATGACTGGAACAGATGTTAGGCTGAGGGAAGAAGGGACAAGCCCAGGCCTACCATGTGTTTTGAAATAGCATATCAGACATCACAAAATTGATCATAGATAATACAGTTGTACTTTGTTTTGTTTTTTATATAGTAAACAAACTCTTCTTTATATTTTTACCTTCATTTATTTATTTTTAGACGTGGGTAAACTGAGCCAGGACTTTACAAAAGGATCCTCTGAAATCTTCATTATGGTGGAAAATATGTGGGTGGGCTTTTGATCTAAGGGAGATCCTATTGGCTGGTACAATTGGACCGGTGGTGTTGCACTTGTTGGATATTCCACCCTCAGGAGTAATCTTCTCTGTTTCTTTCAGTTCTCACCTGTATTCTTTTTCTGTTTGCAGCCGACAACAACCATCGCTTGAACCTTTTCTACCTTGCCAATGATGTGATACAGAACTGCAAAAGGAAGAATGCCATTGTGTTTCGTTCAGCCTTCTCAGACGTCCTTCCAAATGCTGCTCTGCTCATCAAGTGAGAATTCAAAAGATTTATTCAGCTTCATGTGATTTATGTTTGCTAATCAAGCTCAACTTGCCACATTTTTCTTCAACCTTTCTTCTGCTGTCATTTTGCTTCGTTAGAGATGGGAAAGTCCGCAGATCAGTGGAGAGGATCTTTACCATTTGGGAGGAGAGGAGTGTGTATCCTGAGGAGGTCATCGCCCAGTTCAAAACCAATTTGAACAGAAAGGAAAAAGAGCGAGAGAAACAAAAAGAAAAAGAAAAGGAAAAGGAGAAAGAGAAGGAGAAAGAAAAGAAAGAAAAGGAGGCTCCACCTGCCAACGGTTTGTACAAATCTAAAGCTTTCTTCTGAAGTTTCAGTCTACATGGGTGCTTGACAGTTGTCTGTTCTACAAAGAACTTTGAGAGTGCTGAGCTAGCTTCTCATCACAACCATCTGACAACAATTTTGTCTTGTTCCATTTATTTGTTTTTGGGACTGCTGTGATTGTGATGATTATTATATTGTTTATTTGTGCAGCCACCACCAGTACCAAAGCTGCCCTGAAGTCCAAGGTTGTTGCAGAGTTCACAGTAAGCCATTTTCTCCACTGCCTACTTGAAGACAACATCTGAAACAAAGCCGTTTTCATTCACTTGCCCCTCTTCTCTTTTCTAGCTTCAATCCCTGATCGATCAGTTGTCCAGACACAAGCGAGCTGTCGCCGAGGAGGAGCTCAGGGAGAAGCAGCTCACTGCTCTCAGAGTGGATGTCTGCAGCACGGAGGCCCTCAAGAGACTTAAAGGTCAGGACTCACTCAGATTATTTCTGTGTCATCACACACCTTTCCCCCCCTCCTTTTTAAGCCTCAAATGTGACATGTTGATCTGAGTGTCTGTCAAAGTGCACCATCATCATGAGTGGAGCAGTTATTTAAAGCATTGAATTTATTGTGTGCACACTCATGTAAAAGTTAATTGTTTGCTGGCCTTCGTCTGATTTACTTCAGAAATACTCAGATGTGCTGAGTCTGAAAATGCATCTAAATTTGAAAGTAACCCCACCTCCTGGCTTGTTCTGTGAACAATCATGACCAAACAGGATAGTCTCCTCATAATAAAACTGGTATCACTGCTTTTGGTTCTAACCTGTGACCTCATTTGAATTTAAACGCACAAAAAACATTAACTGCTGTGGACACCTGGTGCTTGATTTAGTAATTGTATGTCAATGTCTCCTCCGTTAGACAAGGCAGGAGGGAATAAGTTTGTCAAGGACTTTGAGGATGGCAGTCTGAAGCTGCAGGAGTTCATCAGCTTTCTGGAGAAAGAGTTGAAAACGGGGCCACCTCTGCTGGAAGCTTTGGGGAATGCAGACATCTTCTACGAGACCCAGTACAAGGAGGTTAAGATTGTGGCAAATGTGAGTTCTGTGACGGGACGTTCAAGATATTTATTTTATTGTACAAGTGTCCTTTTTTGGTTTTTATTTGGTTCAGGTATATTTGAGTGTTTTTACAATGAATGATTTTCCCTGTAATCCGCCGCCCTCCTCTGTGTATCTGCCCCCGTCAGGCATACAACGCCTTTGCCAACCGTGTGACCACTCTGAAGAGGAAACTGGATTCCCTCAAATCGACACTACCTGGACCTGAGGACTCTCCCATCCCTTCTCCATCTGAAGATGCTCCCTCACCCACCGGCTCTGACTCCCCCTTTCTGGGTATTGAGGCCCAGGTGGATCCAGAGCTGGATGGAAAGGCCATGGACGAAGGAGAATCCCAGCGAGACAACAGAGACATGGAGGACATGGATATGTCTGAGGAAGAGGCTGAGGCTGCTGCAGCAGCAGCTGAGGGTTTGTTGCCACACAGCGTTGTAGATCTAGGATTCCTTCTTTATGTATTGATCTGTGTAGAGCTTCATCCTATAACTGTGAAACTTTTTTCCCCCTGTGCAGATGACAAGACAGACAAGCTCTCTGCTGCTCTCAAGAATTCAAAGTCAGATGCAGTGGCAAAGCTTCCAAACACACCGACGAAAGCCTCCAAGACCAGCGTTCCTGCTGCTGCCACGGCAACGCCAATGACTCCCACATCTGCCAAAGCTCCCAGCGCTCCACCCACACAGCTGGGAGTCAACCTGGCCAAGGTGGACCTTGGAAAGATCAGCTCCATTCTCAGCTCACTCACATCTGCCATGAAAAATACAGGTGTGTGTTTAGAGCTGGGAGGAGATTTCTTCATAGAGAAATTGTGGCATCTGTGTGCGATAGTTGAGATACACAGCTAAAATTGTTTGAAAAATGAAGGTAACCACTTATTTATTTTAAATGCATTGCTTTTTTTCTTTTTAAAAATCTTCCTCTTTGCACTTACCGACTACTCAGCAGCGAGTCCATCACACCGGCCATGTCCTGGGACACCCACCACCCCCACTGGCCAATCAGCAGCCTCCAAAGCAACCCCACCAAGCCCTGCCTTGGCCAGCATCCTGTCACGTGTTGACATCACCCCTGAGGGGATACTCAGTGCTCTGTCTAAAACCAGCACACCAGGTTAGGCACTTATGATTTATTTCTATTTGATCAGAAAAACTTTCTTCTTCTTTTTTTCTTTCCAAAAATAATGATCTGTGTTCCTATTTGTCACATTTTTATTATAATTTTGTCCTCGAACAGCATTTTCCTCTCTCCTGCAAAGTGTGACCAACACCTCCTCTACTCCCTCCACCCGAACCTCCCCAGAGTCAGCAAGCATCAAAACTCCCGTGACCCCGACCACCCCGAAAACAAAACCTCATCTTGGAAACAGCCACAAACGAGAAATGCCTGGAAGAAACAAAGACTGGGAGAAGGAGATCCAACTGTCTCCTCCTCCGCCTCCCCCTCCTAGTCGTCCTTCGGCTCCTTCCGTCTCTCCCCCCAGTTTAGAATCCAAGATCAACAGCTTCTTGCAGGGTAATCCAGGGTTTAGTCTTGCTCTAGGCGATGTCAGCCCCGATGGGGTTGACGGGACCCCAGTGAGAGACGAGGCTGCCGGCACGCCGACCCAGGATGAGATCATGGACACTCCCGGGAGCGTGCCAGAATCTTTAGGCTCGTCCGGAGGGCATAACCTGTCCCCCACAGCCTACCGCAGTGATCCCTGGGACGCTGCGATCACCCCGTCAGGAGGCAACAACGACGGGGATTACCTAGGCTCTTCTTCATCCAGATACGGAGCCGGAAAAAAGGGCAGCACCAAGTTAAAAGACGATGAAGCAATGAGAAAGCAGGTCTCCTCTTCTCCTGGTAAAGATATGAAGGGTATGAAAGAGGAACAGTACAACCAGTTGAGGATTATGGGAAATAACAGGGTGGGAGAGAGGAGACTTTCTGCTGGCGCTCGTAAAATGAGCACTGGTTCTAATGATGGAAGTCTGAGTGGGAAAAGGGAGGACAAGGGAAAAGCTCTGGGGTCTCCAGCTGGAGATAGGGTGGATGGTCAGTATCACCGTATTGAGACGCTTGTGTCGCCCCACACTGAGGGCGCGCCCATCCAGACTCTGGGGTACTCCAACCGACCACTTGCTGGAGAGCGCATCAAGACAGTGGAGAGCATCCGTGTGATTGGTCGAGGCTCTCGTCGAGGGGGAGGAGCTGGCACTCGACCAGGGGTGTCGGTGTGGTACAAGGAGGAGGAATACCTGGAAGCTCATCCCACCTCCCACATGCTCCCCCCTTCTCTTAACATGGGTCAGGGAGGCATTGAAGACATGAACCCATCAATGCCGCCTCCTCCCCCTCCTCCTCCCCAACACCTCCTCCTCCCTCATCTTCACCCTCCTCCGCCCCATCCCCTATCACATCCTCCCCCTCAGACTCAGTTCCCAATGCACTACCACACAGAGAGCATGCCTCCTCTTCCATCACACCTGCATCATCATCTTCTTCATCATCCTCCTCCTTCATCTCCTTTCTTCGGGGCTCCCCCGCCGATCCCTCGGCCCCCTCCGCCTCCCACACAGCAGCGCCTCTCACCTCCACCTGGTCATTCCGCTGTGCCGACTGCAGTCATGGTGGGGGGAGTGTTGGTCCCTGTTGATCGTCCCCTAACTCTCCCTCCCGCCATTAGATCTGATGGTGGCGAGCGTGGTGGGATGGGGCCCAGAGGAAGTAAAATGAACCACCAACCACGCATGTCATCATTGCTAGGCGACCCCCCCAAGCTTCCCCGTCCCGGCACAGTTAAAGAGCCCTTCGTCCCGCGCCACACGCCCCCCCTCCACCGCCCTGGTACCCCAGGTGTCCCTCCACCTTTACTTGGCCGAGTGAAGGAGCCTCTCAGTCTGCCTCTCCCCTCTCCCTCCCCCTCCCCCACCTCCTCCACACCCTCCCCCTCCGCTCCCAGTTCCCCAGCCGTCGATGGCGCCCCTGCTCACTCACTCCCCCTCGCTAGTCCTCCAGCTCAGAGCCAAGCCTCCAGCCCCGCTCCCCTCCTCAACACGCCCAGTCCTCGGCCACCAGTCCTCTCCGCCTCTCAGAGGCCCCCGCTGCGAGGCCGAAACCCGTCTCAAGACCTCCACAGGGGCGGGTTTCGTGGGGGGAAGCGGGCCGCCCCTCCTTTCACAGGCACTCCTTTCCATGCTCAGAAGAGGCCGTTCCTGCCCCCGCGCTACTGAAGTGGTCATCCATCACAAGCTGAATGAGAAGCGCAAGCCACACATCTAACAGTGCAGTGTGTTAGCCCTGCTGGTATGAGCCCAGACATCTACTCTGTTACTCAGCTTCAATTAAAGAAACTTTAGGTTGTGTGTAAATAGCTTATTAAATCTTCATGCCTCAACCTGGTAGCCAGTCATCTTATCATTGTAATCAGAGGATATCAGTTACATAGTGCAGAGTGTTGTGTACCAACCTCTATCTTTTAGTTCTCCACTTATCCACACACAGTAGATCAGTTTCAGTAGGTCTGGTACAAGCGTGACATAACCGTAAGAATAAAAACTCACAATAGTTGTGGGGGGGGGGGGGCGTTTTTACATTTAGGGTTTTATGTGTGATGTTTGAATGTTTTTTTTTGTTCTCAGATATGCAGAGACAGTGAAACAGAGTTGCTTCTCATTAGATACAAAGCAGAAAAGAAAGCGGTTATTTGGCATTTCGGGAAATGTTTATTAGATTTCCAGCTGAGAGTTTGATTGGAAGAGTGTTGCCTCTCATATCACACAGCAAATTGCTAATCTCATCTCAGAATATTAAACAGGAATAGGATGTGACTTGTTTGAAGGCGCAAAAAAAACAGAAGTGTCCATAAGCTAAAGAATCATGGGGCTAAAAGACCTCGCAGCCGTAAGATTTAACCGAGCCACCGCGCCTGGTCCCAGTGGGCCGTCCTTAGAACGGACCGGGCCGGTTCATGTCACCTTAACGCTCAGCTGAATAAAGGCTCTGCTGTCCTCTTACTCTGTGACATTTTTTTCCAAAATGTCAAACCAGTTATTGGGAAGTGTGTGATTGAAGTGATTAAAGTAGTCTCTTTTTTTTTTTCTTTTTTTAATCTGTGAGCATATGGACATGTGCTGTGCACCCACAGCCAGCATTTCTCCTTTGAGGTGATGGTCAACTCTTGTTCTTATTTCCAGGATTCCTGCTGTTAACATGATTTCTCTCTGGCTTCATTCACTTCAGCATCTACCCTTCCCACTGTACATTACTGAGCTTGTAAATATAAAGAGTGACTGAGTTGATGCTATTTTCCTCTTCAAGCTTTTGTTTCTCTAAACGAGGACACTGAAGGTAACTCTGATTGAGGCCTTGGATGAGCTTTAACCCCGAAGAATTTCTCTGAAGTATCTTTCACACCTTTCTGTCCCCCCACTCCCCTTTTTTCTTCTTCCCCCCCCCCTTTTTTTTAAAAGCTCCAATCAGAAGATAAGGGGGAAGATAATTGTGCGTTTTTATCTGACGTGATTGTTAGACTGAGTCATGAAGATACTCGGTAGGCGATGGTGGGAGGGGGAAGCATTCAACTTTTGGTAGGCTTCAACATGTACTGACTTGAATAAAATCCAGAGTTTCAATTGAACTGGGGGGGGAGATACTTTATTTGGTTACTATTTAAATGTTAAATTGAACTGTTATAATTATTTTTGCCCGGCTAGGCTTTTTTGTGCCTGTTTTCATATATTTACACAGCTGCTGCCATTTTAATATCGCACCAGCATTCAGTTGCTCTTTTTTTTTTCTCTCTTTTTTTCTCTTTTTTGTTTTTTTCCCCGTAAATAGCAAGAATGGTCCACTAATCATTCAGTAGACACAGACGGAGACAGAGTTGAAACATTTGAGGGTTAAATTTAAAAACCATTCACTTAAATAAGTTCAGCTTCTTTACTTTTTTCTTCCCATCACTCCTCTACCTTCAAATTCCTGTGCTTAACTTCATGGGCTCTTTTGCATCCTGCAACCTGTTTTAAGATTCAATGGTAAAGCAATAATTCTTTTTTTCTTCTTGTAATTGTTGCTATAATGCTGCCCCCTGTCCTGGAAATATTACCCATTTGGTTAGAGGTGCAGACTGTGTCAAAGTCTGTACTTCCTGTCTCCTCTTTTTGATCAAGGAATGCATTGTCTCCTTTGCTTCTTTATAAGCACACAACGTTTTTAAGTAGTTACATTGTGACACTAACAAGAAGGATCATTTGTTGCTACTGTATTTTCTCAGCCTCTGTTGTGTTACTGCTTCATTTCTGTTCTCAGCCACTTCAATGTCTTATCTTTACAGTCACACGTTGCATCAACCCATTATCAAAAGCAGTTTGCAGTGATCACAGCTCTTTTTTTGTTTTTAAACATCTCCACGGAGTGACATCCTCCCCCTGTAAATAATTCCTTTTCTCTTGACTTGGTTTAAGTTTGAAAATGACTAATGATGCCATGATGGTCTGTGTGTATCAGAGAAGTTCCCATGCTGTTAATGTTCTCATCAATGACGCTCTATCTCTGATCTTTTTGAGTGTCCAGTCCTTTCTGGTGTTATCAACCTGCACACATTCTGCAGCAGTTATTTGTCACTGTGAATACAACCATACTCACAGCACTTGTGCAGCTTAATGCGAGACAGGGCAGAACATCAACCATTAAGATAACTCAACAGGATGTTCATTCTCATATATTTGATACATTTGTTTTTTCTTGGGTCGGTTCACATTTGACTGATATCGGTCATCGTTTAGAACCTCTTAAGAAATCTGTGGCAACATATTTAGCATATTCCCCCACATGAGCACATTTAATTTTAGTTTTTGGAGATCAGCAAAACAGCTCATCTGTGAAAAACAGTCTTGGAAAAATGCACAATTTAAAAAAGGCATTTTAAAAACAGCCGAGTTCTTGTTGAAATGCCAGGTTTTGACTAACTTTGTTAAACTCTAGAAGGCCACCATGACTGAACCACCTTCAGCTGACAAGCCATTAATGCCAGGAAACTCCTAAGATTAAGCTGTGGTGGAACAGTATTCAGTAAATCACAGCCTTACATTTAAAAACTCACAGGCTTCATTTTACAAGTCTTACATGCATCGCATTAGGCGAAAAAAGTTACTTTGTAAAAAATGTTTTACCGTCCTCTGAAGAGTTTGATTCCTTTTTTTGGAAATAGTCCCAACGTTTCTATTCAGCATAGTTTAAAAAAAAAAAAGTAATTTTGACACGGGTACATAGATTTTATGGAGATCAACACTGGAATTAGTCGAGCTGTATTACAATCCTGACTTCACCCACAGTCAGGTCACTTTTTTTGTGTTATTATTAAAGTGAGGTCTCACATCGGTTGATAAGATAAAAGATTGTTAGGTCACATTTTAAACTACAGTAGAATATGTATCTGTTACTATGGAGACTACTCCGTTTTTTAAAATGAGCCTACAGTGCCCCCAAGTGGCTATTTGGTGGTACTTCGCCTAAAAGCTATTTTGAGGCTTGCTTTTTTTTAAAACCCAAACCTCATTTTTAGAAATCTAAATCCCGACAGAATTGACATGCTGGATGCACATCAAGTACTATATTTTTTTAAAATCGTCAGATCATTCAAATGTTTGTTAGTGTTTGGGAACGTCACAAACGGAATGTTTAATAGAGGTCTTCAAGTGTCGGTGATACGTAATAATGGAGGGTTATTTTGTATGGGGATTTATATGGATATTTCTTCTCAGATAATTGACATTCTCTGAGTACTGGAACAACTGGCACTCAAAGCCCGCCTCCCTGTGAGGGGTACGCCCGCTCCTGTGCAGCCTTGTTGCCTCAAGATGCAGCAGGTTCATGGTTCTGTTAGACAGAGTTGGGCTTTTGACGCTATGTGGGTGGACTTTCATAAGTCTGAAATGTCTGACCTGGCAATAGAAAGCGTTTGGAATTGTGTCTGCTACTTATTTGTTTTTCCAACTTGAGGTGGAATGTTTTTTTGTTTTTATCCATTTGCGCATCTTCTGTTCAAAAGCGCGCTCTGGGCTCACCAGAGCGCGCACGCAGCTTCGAGTCTGCGTCACAAGTTTACGGCAATGACGTCACCGCTGCTTTCTTAACTCGCGCTTCCGGTGTTATGGCCGCTCGCAGGGAAGGAGAAAGAGTAATGTGGCATTTTTGGGAATGAACTAGTAGCGAGGCGTGTTTGCGATGGCGGGGACACAGCTGTTTCGGCTGGTTATCAGTAGGTCGGCAGCCCGCGCGACGTATCGCGTGCACAGGAGGTACAGCAAGGTGCGCGTCCTCGTACTACAGCGTCCATGCTAAGATTAGCCGGCAGGACTGTGTTATGTCAGGGCTGAGCTGCAGCTGGTGGAGATGCTGCCTGGGTAGTGAGGGGCTGGAGATGGAGCCCGTCTGAACCTGTAAAAATAATAATAATAATAACCTGCCTAGTTCAGTTTAGCCTCTGGTTCTATTTACGAGGGATTTTAACATGTGAACTATAGAGTTTCATAACAAAACACCACCTGCTTTCTTTGTAATATTACACTCCTGTTGTTACTTTTGAATTACTAAGGTAAAAAACCTTAATTTATCTCTAAAGACACAAAAAAAGAGCAATACTTATCTGGATAACTCTTGAATAATACCCAGAGGGCTTATTAAAATATAATAATTGCATTTGGCATATGCCTATTACAGTATCCTTATAGTGAATTCAGCTCAGTTGTCTCTATTACTTTAGGGTTTAGGTATATATTGATTAAACTTAAGAGGGGATGTGGGTACACATACTTGCATGTAGACACACAAATAAGCTACCTTAGGCATAAACCTATTGCTAACATATGTGTATACCTCATGTCTGATATTGTATAGTAACTTCTGAGTACAGCGTCCTGTTACAATGGCATGTCATAGTTTAAATGTAAAACAGCATTTATAACCAAGCACTACCTCTTAATTAATTTGTATTTTTCTAACGATCCTCAAGGCCCTTTTGACTTCATCTCATTCTTTTCTTCTCTAGCTGCAGGTGTCTCCAGCTTTATCTGAGCGACTGCGAGTGTTTGAGTCCTTAAGGGACAAACGAGCAAGTCAGAAAAGACTTGAAGCCACAGAAAAGCCCCTCAGTGTCCACCTGGCTGATGGCCGGACAGTAAAGGCAACAGCCGGTGTCACCACACCTCACCTTATTGCACAGAGCGTGCGGTAAATACTTATTGCATACTTGTTTCTTTTTTTATATCATATTCACACAATTTAGTGTAACTCTTTGAAGTATTCCGTGCATTCACACTGCTGATTCTGCAGGATGAAAGGAGCATTGGTAGGTAAGGTGAATGGAGAACTGTGGGAGCTTGGACGACCTCTAGAGGCGGACTGTGAACTACAGCTTTTGGGGTTTGACACAGCTGAGGGCAAACAGGTAACTTATTCCTGTCCTTTACCTGACTTCTGCTCCCTTAATCTCAGATATATCTCAGTATTCATTAGTTTACAGTTCTGAATTACCACCAGGTTATCAAAACATACTCGTCATTTGATTTAATCCTATTGCTGTTACATCATCGTGTAGCAGCTGTGCTTCATCTTTGATGCTGTTGCTCTTATTGGTTTGGTCTACCTAAAAGCTCTTCTCTAAAGACTGAAAATGCTGTTTCTTTTTATTTGGTTTGAATCAGTTTTTTTTTTTCTACAGTGATGTAAACCAGTGTTGTTGGCTATTGTTAGGCCTCTGACACACAAGCTATTGAAAGCTCTCATGTCACCATCTTTGGTTGTTTTTTTTAGTCTAAGTTGGCCTGTTTTTGGTATTGGTTGGAAAGTGGAAAAGGATGAGCCTTTATTTGTCACAACCACTGTTAACTTTGGTGTTAATGTGCTTCCACCCACTCCTCAGGCAGCATGGAGCACAGGGGCGTGTGTCCTGGGCGGCGTGTTGGAGCGGGTGTTTGGCGCCGAGGTGTACAGAGAAGGAGCGTCAGAACTCGGGCTGTTCTGTGATCACGTGTTGAACAACGGGTAAAGCCTTCATTGGACCTTCTCCTGCATATGCTCACAGATTCTTCATCGCTTATAAAATGGTTGTGTTTCAGCAGCAACTGCTGACCAAAGCGAACACATTCCGCATTGTTTATATGGCTCTTATGATAAGATTTTATTGTACTTCATCAGAGGTATTGATTATATAACTTCCTAAGTTTACATCTGTCTTGACCCACAGCCCACTGTCCCTCAGTGACATGGAGGGGAGGTGTAAGGAGGCAGCAGCTCTCAAACTCCCTTTGTTCAGTCTGGAGCTGAGTTTAGAAGAAGTCAGACAACTCTTCCAGGTCAGCGGCTGCTGTTACCAACAGACACTGAGCCCATGAGACGCCATCACAACAGTGACGTGGTGACACAGAGCGCTGATTGGTCAGAGATGATAAACGCACACACGCTGGCCACTTTATGAGGTGTACCTTGTTTGTAAAAGACCTGACCTCTGTTTTTGCCTTCAAAACTGCCTCAATTCTTTGCGGCAACATTCCTCAAAGATTTAGATTCACATTCACACAATGGTGTCACACATCTGATGCACATTTTCCGGCCGTGCGTCCATGATACAGATCCCCGTTGATACCACTGGAGCACAACAAATGCAAGAAACCAGCTTGAGACGATATGAGCTTTGTGACCGCTTTGTTGCCGGTCTGGCACCATCAAACCATGCCAGGTTGTTAGTAAGTTGCCATGACGACCTGGTCTTGAGCAGGTGCACCTGATAAAGTGGCCGTCGAGTTTAATTTCTTTGCTGCAACAGCACACGTCACTGTTGATGACGACTCACAGTTTTAAATCATGGTTTTCCCCATAAATCTTTAGCTCTGTGACACCTGATAAGAAAGAGGATTTGGTTTAAGTTATGAAAAATCATGTAATGGTGAGAAAACACTCTTCTCTGGATGTTTTGATGTCCTTAATTTATCATTTATAAAGATGTTTTTAAAGGGATTTATTTAAGTAGGAGCAAAACAAAGTCATTGTCGAATGTGTTTTTTAAGTGTGTGTGTGTTCCTGCTGTAGGACAGTAAGCTGAGGCTGCAGCTGGTGGAGGAGCAAATGAATGGCTCCACTGTCACCGTGTGCAGGCATGTATGACTGCTTCCACCCAGCCTCATCAAACAGTTTCCCAGAAATCTGACCTGTGTCCATCCTCTGTGCCACTCAGATGTGGGGACAGCATAGCAGTGTGCAGCGGGCCCCTCCTGCCACACACAGGCCTCCTCAAAGACTTCAAGATGCTCCAGGTGTGTTGGTCATTGTGTATTTAATGTTGTACCATTAGCCTTCTATTGTTTCTGTGAGTTTGTGTTGCACAGCCACTCCCAAAAGAACCCAGTGCATTTGCCCGTTTATCCAGTTGTGGCCATGTGATTGACGAGCTTACCACAGATTGATCTCTTACGGGTCTCGTTTTTCTTCAAGCTTCAAATAAGATACAGAAGACTTGATGACCTGCTGTAGTCCAACACAATAATTTAAACTAATCGCATCAGTGCAAAGCTGTTTTATTTGGACCCATCTGGCCTTCTCAGTTCAGCGGGAGTCGCTCGGGGTAAATGGAATTTTCCTCATCCTTATTGATCCAGCGAGCTGTTTCCAAAGTGGGCTGTCACTGGGCAGACTGGGATTCCACAACAGCAAGGGGCTGGAAATATCAGAGGCAGGATGTTGTGTTTGTCAGAGGCCGTGTTCCTGTTCGGGGCTCCCGCCGACACAATGGCATCCATCACATGTGCTATCACCCTTCTCTCTTTTTGGCCAGCTCTCATTTTCCTTTCCCCTTTTTCCGTCTCTTTGTTGGTTCACTGTTTTCTTCCCACCACCCTCTCCGCTCACCACCGCGTCGCCGTCCCAGCTGTCCCCCGTGACCCTGTCCAACCAGAGCGATGCCCCGGGTTTAACTCGGCTGTTCGGTGTGGCCTTTCCAGGAGAGAAGCAGAGGGAAGAGTGGGAGAGGGAGCAGGAGGAGGCGAGGAGGAGGGACCACAGGCGGATTGGGACGGTAAGATGAGGTTTTCAGGAGCAGTGCTCAAAACAAGTTCAGTTAAAAGCCTAACGGAAACAGTTAGATCCAGAATATTCCCACAAAAATAACATCAGTGGGTTTGTTTTTGTTTTTTTTCCCCCACAGGACCAGGAGCTGTTTTTTTTCAATGAGGTCAGTCCAGGAAGCTGCTTCTTCCTGCCCAAAGGAGCCCACATCTACCAGACCCTCACCGACTTCATTAAGGTGCACTGACTGTTTATCAAAACACCTCACAGAGTCCTGTCATCCAGAATTAGATTTTTGACTGAATGATTGAATTTCCCGATTGTCCATATATTTCAGTTTTATTATTTTTCTTTATCCTCAAGGTGGATTGTCAACTCTGCTCTAGCTTTACTCATCTTTCCATAATTATTCTGAGTTTTGTCTCAACTTACACTACAAGTCTATCTAAAGCCCTAAAAATGTGTCTGTGTTTACAAAAGTTGTCAACCTATCCCTGGATTTTTTAAATCTTCGAATATCTTTACACTTTTGATAGATTTCTAGAGGCTGCACCTGCCACATGATGATGTAATCATTTGGTTCTAGTCCTGATGAATTACGAGGGGCTGGTAGGCACCAGGATGTCCTACTTTGTTTGATGCTGACACTGTTATGGCAAACCGACCCGCTTGGCGCCCTCATTGTTACATGTCATTCCTTCCTGACCTCCCACAGAGCGAATACCGGAGGCGAGGCTTCTCCGAGGTCGTGACCCCAACCTTGTACAGCACTGCATTGTGGGAGCGCTCGGGCCACTGGGAGCACTACAGCGAGAACATGTTCACCGTGATGTCAGAGGGCGCTCAGACCTACGCCCTCAAACCCATGAACTGTCCCGCACACTGGTGAGCACCCACACACGTGCACGCTCACACGCCTGTGCTCCCCCCAGAGGCTGACCGTGTTCACCTGCCTTTAGCCTCATGTTCGAGCAGCGCGTGCGCTCGTGGCGGGAGCTCCCCCTCCGCTGGGCCGACTTCGGGGCTCTGCATCGGAACGAGCTGTCGGGCGCTCTGGGAGGCCTGACTCGTGTCCGGAGGTTCTGCCAGGATGACGCTCACATCTTTTGCACACCGGAGCAGGTATTAAATGAACCCGCGTTCCCCTCCTCCCTGAGCCTCAGGTGGAAACTGTAGAGGAACCCGTGTGGGGCCGTGTACAGCCATTAGACGGGCACAGGAGACATTCCGGGAGGCCTGGGCTTGGATGAATGAGGGTGTTTGTTCTGTTCAAATATGGCACCTCTATAAGTATATCGCTGTAGCTGTCCAGTTATGCTGCTCGTCACCACGATAGTCCTGTTCTTCAGTTTCACCCCAGACAGATCAGATCAGGCAGGTGACAGTGATCAGATGATTCAGTGTCAGAGCTCCTAACCCTCTGCAGTTGGAATTTGACACTTTTAGCAGTCAGCTCTGTTGATCATTGGATGTTGGTTTGTTTTTCTGCCGTACATCTTGACTCGCTTTGTTGCTTCTCTCTCCAGCTTGAAGAAGAGATTGTGTCTTGTTTGGAATTTGTTCGGAGCGTCTATCGAGTGTTTGGGTTTTCCTTCCACTGCCTGCTCTCCACACGTCCCACACCGTGCCTGGGGGAGCCTGAACAGTGGGACAATGCTGAGCAGGTAAAACACAAACACACACATCCTCACGCAGCGTGTGTGTGTGTACTTGTACTGCAAATGGCACCCATTTCATTAGAGCTGTGGAAGAAATCTTTAAGAAAAATATTGTGGTGTAATGATACACTTAACCAATCATACATACAAGTGGTACTTTCCAATTGAAAGCTGCTTTTTGTTGAGCTGCCGAGTGAATGTATATCTGCAAACCCCCATGGACGCCTTTTAAATAGGCACATTGGCAATTTAACCTGATATAGTTGAGTGTAATTGAACATTATGGCTCTTAGCTCCCACAGCTCCTTAGCAGAGAGGAACCAGCGTGGCAGCCATGATGTGCATTGATGTTCAGTGTCTCCCCCCTAAGCCTGTGTGTGTGTCTGTGTGTGTGTATGAGCAGCAGTTGGAGAGAAGTCTGCAGCAGTTTGGTGAGCGCTGGGGGGTGAACCCTGGAGACGGAGCCTTCTATGGACCAAAGGTCAGTGGGCGGGGATGCATGTGTTCAGGTCAATTTTTTTGTATGAATGGCTTTAGCCTGGATTGTATTAACTGACTTTAAGTTTTGGTTTTCCTGTCAATAAACAAGATTGTTTTTACTGCTATGAAACAAGTAAATTTTTTTTGAGCTGCAAAACTATTCATTTTAGTGTTTGGACTCTTGTGAGGTCAGTTTATTGGCATGGCCTGACATATTAGAGCATGGTGTAAGCATCTCTTTGTTCCGGGCTCTATAGGGAGAAACTGAGCGCCACATGATGCTGTTCACACTAATTAAGACTGAAACAGATTTTTTTTTGCTCCATTTACTTATGTTGAGGTGAGTTGAAGTTCACTGCTTCTGTGCAATTAGTCACAGAACGTCAAGACATGATCATTCTCATGTGAAGGCACAGAGAGGTGGGCCAAAGGCGGTTAAAGATAGGCACACCAGCACGCTCCTTGAAATAGACATTCCTCACAAGCGTGTCACTTTGGGCGTGTCAGCCACAATTAGCATGTTCGGTTTTTCCCGAAAACCTGTTTATAACCGATTCAGCCCACAAAAATGCAGCATGTCGAGAGTGCTGTGCTCTGATTCGCTGCAGCTCATAATCGGTTTCATGGTAGATTGACATCCTGATCAAAGATGCAATTGGCCGTCAACACCAGTGTGCAACAATCCAACTGGACTTCCAGCTGCCAATCCGGTTCGACCTTCAGTACGTGGGGTGAGTGGTTCCCTGTTTCTGCCTCTGGCATGAAGTCACTCAAACATTCCCACATCTGTGCTGCTGTAATCCTGCACTTGTGGTTTGGTGGTGCCGACTTGTCGTTTTGGTTAACTCACAGGTTTGTGTGTAAATTCCTGGAAATGGTCGGGCTAAAATAAGCACCTCTGCAACTTAACGGGATCCTAATTTGATCAACAAAGACCACTCCCTTATTGAATTTACCGGCTGAAGTAAGCCCGCTCCACATTTCTGCCTATAAGCTCTTCATGCCACACATCACTCATCTTCTCTGGCGTTCAGCCTCCGTCAGAGTGGTTTTGATTTCCCAGTTGGACAGAGAAATCCTGTTCCTGCACAGACTTTTCTCATGAAGCGCCTCATTTTATGCAAACACAACAGAGCAAGAGAGAAATGCGTTCGATGTGTGTTTTGGTCAGCGGACATCTATGCCTCTAAAGCTAAACCAATCTTTTGCATTGATGTGCACTGTGGCCTGATCAATTCCGACCTCTCTCTCAGACCAGACGGCAAGTCGCACAGGCCAGTGATGATTCACCGAGCAGTGCTGGGGTCACTGGAGAGGATGATTGCGATATTGGCTGAAAACTTTGGAGGGAAATGGTGAGAAACTATAGGATATATAAGCCTACAAGTTAGATGAAGCTGTAGATGTGGCCCACGTGACCATCGCTGCTGTTTTTTACGCTCAATCTAGGCCGCTGTGGTTGTCTCCAGCTCAGGTCGTGGTCATTCCTGTAGGGGGCAACAGCGAGTCGTACAGCCGACAGGTCAGTGTGGGACGGCCATCTGTTGACCGTCTACTGTCTGCCTGACTGTTTTTTTTTTTTTCTTTCCTGATTAATTTGTGAGTTCAAAAAAGCACCTCCTCTCCCTCTTCAGGTGGTTCAGCAGTTCCATGAAGCCGGCTTCATGGTTGAGTTGAATGACGATCAAAGCACCACCCTAAATAAGAAGATTCGCTCTGCTCAGCTGGCCCAGTACAACTACATATTTGGTAAAGACCAGTAACTCGGGGCTGATGGAAATACTGAGGCCCATCAAGGTTGTTTTATACTTTCCCTTCATCGACATCAATAGAATTTACCATCCATTTTTCTATGTTCTTCTTTTTGTCTTAGTGGTGGGAGATAAGGAGTGCGAGAGTGGAACGGTGAATGTCAGGAGCAGAGGGGGTAGGCAGCTGGGCAGGAGGCCGACAGAGGAGGTGCTGAGGTCGCTCACACTCCTACGAGACACAAGGAGTAACCAGGATGAGTTCTGATACGAGTGTCCAGGAGCTAATTATTTACCGACGGTATCAGTTTCTCATCTTTATGTTCAGGCTTCATCTGAAAATGTGGATGTTACAGATTATAATAAAACACATAAAACACTCAAGTTTGTTCTCTTTTAACAGAATCTATTATATATGTTCCAGAATAAATTGAGGGATATTTAACTGCCACTGTAATATCAGCATTACTCAGCTGCTGGTGCAGTTTGTTCACTAAAGGCCCTTTCAAAATGCAAACCTCAGGCTTATGTAAGCCTGAGATGACTAGAGGGAAGAAAACCAGGCATACCTTTAAAAGACTGAAAGAAAGAGGACAAGGAGGGGGATTTGACTAAAATAGGAGACGGAGGAGCTGTCAGGACTGTGTGTTTTTGTGTGTGTTTGGGGGAAACAGCCAAGTCAAGGTAGAGGTCAAAGGGATTGGACGTTTTTCCTTTTTAATTGAGAGAGGGCAGCAGGATGGAAAAGGCATCAGTCACAACAATGATACAGAGGCTGGGACGGAGGCGTCGGCTCTTGGAGAATAAATCAGGTCGACGGGACAAAAGAAACCAATGCAGAGAAGTGTGTGTATGTGTGTGTGTGTGTGTGTGTGTGTGTGTGAGACAGGTGGAGTCCATAGTGAGCTCAGTTCCACTGAAAGTCATTTCAGGGGGCCAGAGAGGTGAGCTGATGCAATTTTGAACATTCTTATCTGCAGATGCAGTTTTTTTAAATATTACTCTCTACAAGAGAACTACATGAACAGGTGTTGGGTTAAGATTTGAATACGTCACGCTTTTGAGATTCAAATCTGAAACTTGGGCCCTTTCTGATCCAGTGAAAAATGTAAGACTCACCCTGAAATGTGACAGTTTGACACAGTCCACAGCAGTGTCTCTGAGAGGCTGCATCATGGTTCAGTGGAGGTAAAATGGAAGCAACCGGCCTTAAGGACGTCAGCGTGCTTTTAAAATGATTTATTTCTCATCACTTCTGTGTCCTCTCTGAGTTTCTGAGTTTGACATTTACATCAGGAGATGGAGCAGATTCTCAGTCTTCCAGGTCATGGTATTCCTACAATCTCATGCAAAGTGGATTAAAGATCCAAGAAGGCGTCCAGTTGCCTTTACTCAAGCTCTTAAGGATCAGCTGATACCATTTGAGCCCTCCCCCCCGCTATCATTGGCAAATTAAGTTGCATGCTTTTTTTTTTATCTACTGCCAGAGCCTCAAATCTTTTTGCATAAAAACATGTGAACTGCAGTTTTAACCTTCTGAGGCAAATCACCAGGAAAGATGGAACTTAGATAAAGTTAGATTGTTCTCATAAAATTATTTATGTCTGCTGCATATGTTTATGTGTTTTACATTTTGTGAAATAAATTCACAACCAAATTCACTTAGAATTTGATGCAGCTGAAGTGTCAGACAGATCCCAAAACACAAGACCAGTAAAACTAAATACTTGCATGTACTTTAAGGGCAGGAATTCTAATCATTCCTTTGAAAGTTTCAGTTATCAAAGTGATGCTTATTTTAAAGAAAGAAAAACTAAATTTGTACAATTTTGAAAAGGATAAAGAACCATAATCTTTTCAGGGGGTGGGGGGTCAGCCAGCATATTGATGGATAATGAAAGAAGTTTTCTCTGTCTAGATTTCCCCGAATCGGCCTGCTGTCTGTCCTCACTCTGCTGCATGCTCCGTCCAAATGGTGGAGATAAAATATGACCCAGACAGCAGCCACCAGCCAACATTACACAGTAGTTGCATAGTGATGACACAGACCATTAACTCCAGTAAACACTCCTCAAATCTTTACTGTAGATAACAACAGGAGCCTCCCTTTGCTCTCCTCACATCTCCTCTGTGCCCACCCTACAGCGTTTTATCTCCTCTATATGTGTTGCACAGACACACACATACTCGGCAATCTTTCACTGAACTGGTGGAGTCACACAGAGTTCATAGCAAATTATTTTTAGCCAAAGGGACTTACCAAAAAAGAAAATGGCTTCTGTTGCAACAGTACACACACAAAAAGGCTTTTCAAGACAGTAGAGGCTAAAAGCTCACTCTGACATCCAAAGTGGGTTAACTTGATGACATTTTTTAAAATCTAAAGGCCTTTAAAGGATCCTGTGCAACCAATAGGGTAATTTCTCATTAAATTTCTCATTCTTTTCCTTTGAGCAGGGCTCAGCATATTTTGACTCGTGGATGATTAATCTCAGCAGGTTTGCCTCTAAAACAACAGAATACGTTGAAATATGGTCTTTATAATGTCTCATATTTCAACATGATCTCATCAGGTGTCCTACTTTTTTGTCTGGCCAACACTCCCCAAACACCAGATATGAAATTTACTGTTAACCACAAAGAAGGAAGGCAACGAGTTATCATGTCTGAGAAATGTGATCCCGTAAATACATGGCTCGTGTTTGTTTGGCCTGTTAAGACTTGATGCAGAAGAAGATCCCTGTGGATGTTTTTTTTAAATGAGGGTAAATATCTTTAAAACGCACATTGGATCTGTTTGTCTAATTTACAGTAAACGTAAAAAACTTCAACTGTTCTGTCGCTTTTGTGTCAGTTCAATGTTCGTTCTGTTTTTCAGAGGGATTCTTCTTTCATCACACAACTCGGTTGTACGCTTTCTGTTATGTGAGAGTTTTAGATAAATGTGTGGTATCTCTGACTTGGTTTGCAGGGGCTGACTGTCTTGGACAAAACTATTGCTGCAGATGTCTGGCAGGCGGACAAATTCAATACTGGAAAATCAAATCCTGGTTTCTGCGAGACTGCTGTCGTCCTGGAAGTCCTCTTTTCCTGGCGGGAGGCAGGGTGACTGTGACCCAGGCGGGAGGCAGAGCCCAACAGGCCAGCTGGGGGAAGATAAACAGACTGCTCAGTATTGTTCTCCTGGTATCACAGAGAAGCTGTCAGCCTGAGTGATTGAAGGCTAAACCTCCCAAAATAGGCCCTTCAAGGCCGGGCTGCCTCTCCCTTCCACCTAGTTATAAATAATCCGTGTGTGTGCGCTGGTGTTTTATGACCGTGTGTGTTCTGAAGAAAGAGCAAAAAAAAAAGAAAGGAGAGGTATGGAGATGATCGCTGCCAGGGTGGCCTTAGAAAGCAAAGCCACGGAAAACAATAACAGGAGGTTTGTGAGGCTGGGAGCCAGTGGCACACAGAGCCTCACACACGACCCTCCTCTGACCTCTCAGCACACAGTCATACCATGCGTACAGTTAACACCCACTGTACCTCCGCTGCTCATTATTCCAGGTCATCTTTCTTTTTTCATTCTGTATATTCTGTCAGTATTATTTGAACAGGGCTTGTAAATTTCCACCTGAGGGAATTTCACTCGATCATTTGCACTCTAACAGGTGTGCCAGAGGTAAATGTTCTTTATGCTCAAACAATGTTCTGGGAAAGGTTTGAGTCACCTCTCATTTCTTTACTTATTACCAAGTGCTGTGAATTGAAGTAAATACGATTAGAAATATAAATAAGCAAAAATGTCAAATTCGAACAAGCATGAAAATCAGTATTTGGTAAGAGTGCTGCTTCTTTAAGAAAGGCTTCTCCTGGCAGGTTGACGGACATGCTGAAGCTCTTCTGGGGGATTTACTGTTGAGGTCTGGGCTCTGGGCAGGATCCATCTCTCCACCACACCTCCTGTCATTGATTTTCAGTCTGCCTCCTGTGGCGTTTGGCGTGGCTCAACCTTTTTTCCATGTCTCCATGGAAACCAAGCTTTCCCGGGGACCATTTCTGATGAGGCTTTAGGGAACAGCAGGTCGATCCACCGATGGTCCAGATGCATAAATCTGGTTCTGTGTCAGGTCTGGATTTTCATAGATGTAAAAAGTTGCTTTGCATCTAAATAGTGATGTTTTCCCATATTTGGTAGAATAAAGTGAAGAAATTGGGGAAAGTTTATTAGTCTTTTCTGAAAGTGGCAAAACACACTGATGAAAATGATTTTTTTTAGTTAAGTTGTCTCTCATGAGTAAGCCCAACACTGGTTCATCCCTTGAGTTATGTGCCTTTTTGGAGCTTCAATGACTAATAGGTCAGTTTTAAAGGTTCAGCAAACAAACAAAAAGCGCGATTCCTTAAAATAGTCAGACACAAGGGCTTGATTGAAAATGAGTGGCATTGCAGCCAACATCCATAGAAAAACACTGAAAGACCTTTAGAAATCCTGGAGAGCTGTATCTCAGAAGCACTTTTAAAGATAACTGTGATATTTAGGAGGAAAATAGAGAGAAATGAGTGACGGCTCTATGCTCTTGCTGCATATCGTTGGACAGCGTTACAGCATCAGCACACACATGAAAACAGCTCCAGACCAGGAAGCGAGGATTCCTTTTTGGTGTGTGTGTCTGTTTGGTTGTGCGTATGTCTGTGTGTATGTGTGTGTATACATTGCCAGGCAACAATCAAACGAAAATACTTTCTTTCGAAAGTAAGTCAGCAGTGGAAGAACGCTGTCAAGAAGCTTTCTACTTAAACTGGATACCCCAAAACCTCAGCCCACCCAGGCAGCCTGCACCCCCCCCCCCCCACCCCCCTCCACCCCCCTCCCCTTTTCCAGTAACTGCTCGTCTCAGACTTAACACTCAGCTTAGTTAGCTGCTGGCTTATGTGTGATCAGTGACCCATCAGCTGAGCTCCAACTTTACCCGGCAGTGTTCACGTCACTCCTTCCATGTGCCAACTTGGTTTTAGGTTCATTTCTAGGCAATGGATGTTCACAGCCACACTCACAAATACACACAGATAAGTGTGTGGCAGCTCAGCTCAGCACAGTGGTGTACAGTCTCAGGCCGGCCTCAGTCTGCTCCAAAGTATGTCTGCTATGCTCAACACACTGCTGACCTGATTTCCTATCCTGCTCCCATCAGACTGGGATACCTAGAGTGAGCAGACCTAGATGAGGAGCCTCTGTGTGAAAGAGGCATTCAGTTTATTGTTCCAGCAAACCTGTTGAATCGC